AAGTCGGACGCTCAACTGACTGAGCCACCCAGGCGCCCCTATTATTTCTGAAAGTAACATATTAATCCTGGGTTGGATTCAGAAAATACAGTTTGTATATTTGATAAACAAATTTGCATCTAAGAATGTAATCAGCCCCCCTCCACTTCCTGCTGTCCTATGAAACATGTACTTCCTGTAGGTCCTGTAGGAAGAACGGCCACTTTAAGTCCCGCATGTCAGGGGACAGACTTTCAAGCCTTTCGCAGGTAAGCCCCATAACCCCATAGCGATACCACATGCTTTCAGCTCAAGAAGGGTCATTTTTACATGTGCCACCATAAAGGGGGGAGGGAGGTAGACGAAACACGATAAACAATTTAAACAGTACAGGTCATTCCTTCCTACCACTCCACTGAATGAGTGCATGCTCCAGTGTGAGGCACTGCACAGGACACCCAAGTGTCCCATTCCTTTGTCCCCTCTGTTCTTACATACATGTCACGGAATGAAAGCTTCATGGAAATGAGTGGAAGCAGGTTGCCAAAAGTCAAAATTTTGCTCCACAATACGACCCAACTCCGCGTTAAAGACAGTGGCTGCAATAGAAGGATGCCAGTCCCCAGGCTGTGTCTCTTCCTCTGAAATTGCTCTGCTGGTTTGCCACAGACTACTCCTGTTCTATTCCACTCCACTCCCCAGCACGCCGACTCACTTTCCAGACTCTCCCTCTTCCCCGCGTACAACTGCCAAATGGACTAATGTTCCTGAAACAATTCATCATGTGATTTCCTTACTCATCAAGAGACCCAACTAGGTAATCCAAATGCTTCTGCAAGGCTTGCCAGTCTGTCTAATATGTGGCTGCTTTCTACCCCTTTGATCCTATTATTTTACACTATAGTAGTAATTACCACACTACCATTGCAAGCTGTCAAAACCACTCATGGCAACCGGGAAGCATTCGCATACCACAGCCTCACTCCCACGATGCTAACAAAGGGTGAGGATCCGCAGTAGTTGTATTACCAAAGAGCAAGAACATAAACAGTATAGAATTTACTAGGCCTTCCATGTAAACACACATGATTACCATGCCTTTTTTTTTTTTTTTTTAATTTAAAGAAAAACCACCGGAAGTATACTTGGCACACAAAGTATGATATTTGGGGCGCCTGGGTGGCTCAGTCGGTTGAGCGTCCGACTTCGGCTCAGGACACGATCTCACGGTTTGCGAGTTCGAGCCCCGCATCGGGCTCTGCGCTAACAGCTCGGAGCCTGGAGCCTGCTTCGGATTCTGTGTCTCCTTGTCTCTCTGCCCCTCCCAAACTTGTGCTCTGTCTATGTCTCTCAATAAATAAATGTAAAAAAAAAAAAAAAAAAAAAAAAAAAATTCAAAGTATGGTATTTGTATCCCATTTTTTACGATTTAGAAGATTCAAATTTGCACAGAATATGGCTGCACCATTTGCAAAGAACAGCACTTATCAAACATATTTTAACCGTTCCCCATTTGTTACTTTTGACTCTTCCACTGAATTGTAGGTTTCTTATATGTCAAGGCCAGTCTTCTTCATTCTCTCCTCTGAACCTGGAGTAACTAGCCGTGCTGCCGTGCTACTTGAGTGCTAGACAATTAAAGAACAATGTTCACGTCTTACCAGATAACGTGGAGCCATTTTTCAGAGTGACAGTCCTAAGTCTTCTCATTCTTTCTGACGATCCTGCCGAATCTGAGGAGTCGCCAGAAGTCAAGCCCGAAGAGACACTAGCACCTGTCTTACGGCCTGCAGAATAGGCACCCCTACTGGAGGGAGAGTGGGCAGGAGAACCCACCAATTCAGGAATTACTTTTGTCTGAGATTTTAACCGCTTCTGTTTGATATTTCTGGTCAAAGATATGAACAAAGGAAACAAAATTTAATTAAACAGGGAATGCCTGAATAAAAGTGTATTACTACTTAACCTGAGAAAAATTTTATGATCAAAACATTGAAATATTCATTGTTAACATCTTATTCTGACGTGGATTACTATGGATATCCTTACTCTAAGTTTGACATCATTTTGTTCCAAACTGAAGTAACGAACAAATGACCCAAGTTACAGAGTAGAAAATCATACTGAATACCTTAAATTCTTTGGATTAAATGCTAAGAGGAGCCAACATTTATGTAATACACGCATTCATTCATATTACAAATCTGAGTCTCAATAAGAAACAACTTTCTCTCTGGTCTATTTACATATATAGACATATACGTGTAACAGTATGTAAGAGGAGAAATCAACAAAATCTAACCAGAAAGAACAGAGGCCAAAAAAAAGATCAGAACAAGCTAGTTTTTTCTAAGACCAATCTGTTTATTCTAAGTACCAGTTCACTGTGTTTGACCCCTGAGCCATGGATTATCAAGAAAAAGAGTGGAAGTTTAGGACAAGACAGCCTTTTGTTTTAAATTACAGATCTGGGTAATATTCATGTTGAGTAATCCTATTTTCCTTTAAAACAAAAAGATAAAAGAGCTTTGTATTTAAGGCACCTGAGCTTAAAGATAACCACAACGTTCTTTAAAGCAGTAATTGTTTATCATAATCAAGAAATTTCAAACTTTTTTACAGCAAAATGTTAACTTCTAGAAATAAGTCAGTCCGAAAAAGACAGATGTCATGTTTTCACTCATATGTGGAATTTGAGAAACTTAACAGAAGACTATAGGGGAAGGGAAGGAAAAATAAGTTACAAACAGAGAGGAGGCAAACCATAAGAGACTCTTAAATACAGAGAACAAACTGAGGGTTGCTGAGGTGGGGGGATGGAGGGAGAGCAGGAAAACGGGAGATGGCACTGAGGAGGGCACTTGTTGGGATGAGCACTGGGTGTTGTATGTAAGTGATGAACCACAGGAACCTACTCCCAAAGCTAAGACCATGCTGTATACACTGTAAGTTAGCTAACTTGACAACAGATTAAAACGTAAAAAATAAGAGGCGCCTGGGTGGCTCAGTCAGTCGAGCGTCTGACGTCGGCTCAGGTCATGATCTCGGGGTCTTTGAGTTTGAGCCCCGCATCAGGCTCTGTGCTGACAGCTCAGAGCCGGGAGCCTGCTTCGGATTCTGTGTCTCCCTCTCTCTCTGCCCCTCCCCCGCTCATGCTCTGTCTCTCTCTCTCTCAAAATATTAATTTCTATTAATATCAACTGGAAGGCAGACCAATGAATACAAAAGAAAACAATTACATGCTTATACTCATCATAAACTTCCTTTTAAACAGAAGACAAAATGATAAATATCTCAGGAGTAAAACTGTTCCCTTTTTTTTATCCTATGTCCTTCTTAACTGTTAAACTCTTTATTGTTCAAAGAGAAAGAGCTTTTTTTTTTAAAATAATTAAACAAAAAAATTAAAAACTCCTAAAATAACAGAAAAACCCAAACTGGGGGACATTTTAGAAAATAAATGACCCATACTCTCCAAAAATGTCAATTAAGAAGACAAAGGTAGAAAATAAAATTCCTGATTAAAACAGACTAAAGAGGAGTGCTTGGGTAGCTCAATCAATTAAGCGACCTACTCTTAATTTCAGCTCAGGTCATGATCCCACAGTTTGTGAGTTCAAGCCCCACTGTCAGGCTCTAGGTTCACAGCACAGAGCCTGCTTGGGATTCTCTTCCTCCCTCTCTCTCTCTGCCCCTCCCCCACTCATGTTGTCAGTCAATCAATCAATCAATATTCAAAAAAACAAAACAAAAAAACAGAGACACCTGGGTGGCTCAGTTGGTTAAGTGCCTAGCTCTGGATTTAGGCTCAGGTCATGATCTCACAGTTCTTGAGTTTGAGCACAGAGCCTGCTTGAGATTCTCTCTCTCCCCCTTTCTCTCTGTCCCTCCCCCACTTGTGCACATGCAAGCACTCTCTTCTCAAAATAAACTTAAAGTATAATAATAATGATGATGATGATGATGATGATGATGAAACAGACTAAAAAGGAGTGCCTGGCTGGCTCAGTCAGTAGAACATGTGACTTGATCTCAGGGTCATGAGTTTGAGCCCTATGCTGGGCACAGAGATTACTTAAAAACTAAATAAAAATAAAAAATAAGATTGGCTGATGATTAAATGAGCTAATGTTTAAAAAAAAAAAAAAACCAAAAACACAGACTAAAGAGACCATGAACTATATGCAACACAAGATCCTCACTTGGGTGTAGATTAGAAAAAAAAATTGTCCTAAGGACATTATTAGGTCAACTGTAGAAATACAGTAAGATGTGGTTAGAACCTTATTTTTAGCAAATCCACACCAAATATTTAGGGGTAAAGGAGCAAGGTGTCAGATATATTCTTTTGAATGACTGAGAAGAAAAACACACAACAAAAAGATAAAGCAACAATACAGCATATGTGACGTACTATGAAAAATTGGTGAGTCCAGGTAAAGTATAAAGGAGTTCTTTGAATTATTCTTCAACTTCTCTGTAGTTCTGAAATTATTTCAAAATTAAAAGTTAAAAAAAAAAAAAGAGGCAGGGAGGACTCACATAGTACCTCGTAACGTATGCCCCCAAATTACGGACTGTAAAGCAGCTGAACGGGCCGAATTCATTTCCCTAAGGCTAAGGAGCACGTCTGCCCGGTTCAGTGCAGTTCTGCTGTCCTAAACACTGGGGCAGGGATGCAAGGAGGACTTTGGCAAATCCTCTCACCCAAAACGCAAAGATAAAACTGGCAAAATCATCCAAAACAATCATTTCGCAACTCTGGAAAGTAATCAAAGGCCTTTATTAAAAAAGGCCTTTATTAAAAAAGCCTTTATTCTAGAAAACCTTCTGAATCTAAGAAAAAACTTTACTGGAGTTTTGGTATTTTAACTCGGGGCTCCTCCCAGTCACACACACCCCAATTCTGTGGCACAGCCTTGAGGACCAGGATGAGGAGGCAGAAGGAGCTGGCCTGACTTGAGAGCTTCACCAAACAGCACTAAACTCACTGCTGGAAATCCAGCCAGGCCGACCACGTGGCAGCCCAAGCCTGTGAAACCGGTCAGACCAACACAGTTCAGCCACAAAATTTAAAGGAGAGCTACAGAATGAGACAGTCACAGGAGTCTTTGAAAAGCTCCAAAATCATCCTGGGGATGTGAAAGGTTCCACAAATACTCAAGAAAGACTGGGGAGAGCCCTGTTATCCAGTCGTCCCTGGATTACCTTGAGACTCTCATGCCTGGAAAAATATAGGCAGAAAGTGAACTTGGCCTCAGTTCACACAAAGGCCTCCTTCAGAAAAGGGTGGAGGGCTTACTTGATGGGTTTAAGCACAAATTCTGACCACTGTGCTGTGGCAAGTCAGGGAAGACACCCAGGAACACAGGCCCCCCCCCCCC